TATCTATCTATCTATCTATCTATCTATCTATCTATCTATCTATCATCTATCTATCTATCTATCATCTATCTATCTATCTATCTATCTATCTATCTCTATCTACCTATCAATCTTTCTATCTATTATCTATCTATCTATCTATCTATCTATCTATCTATCTATCTATCTATCTACCTATCTACCTATCTATCATCTATCTATTTCCTCCTTATTATCTATACCCATAATGTATGCATGGAAACCTACAAGAACACACATACAGTTCATAAATGTGAAGTCAATTGGGGTTTTTCCCCCTAATTGAATGTTGTATCATAGTCATTTCCCCAAGTTGCCCATGGTGTAACTCACTTTTAGTGATGTGCTGACCTCCTAGAAGTGTAGTTACTAAGTCAAGAAGTATGGGCAGCATTTAGGGATAGCAACTCCTCAAATTCTTCAGCAGAAACCTGGCTTGCCCTGATCTAATACTCTCTTAGATTAGCAGGATCTGACTGTTTTATGATCACTTTGCCTTTCCATATACTGTTTGTGCCCTGTGAGTCTTGAATTCATCTTCCTCTCTACTCTTTGCCATACCCAGTGCTTTACATATGGCAAGTAGTCAATGAAAGTCTGATGTAAGAATGAAGGGACCTTCAGGAAACCTAGTATAACAGTACCCAATCAAGACCAGGCCCATCTGCTAGGCAGACAGTATATGTAGTTCAGGGACTTTACATGTTGCTTTCAGGAAGTTACTGAGCTGTTTTTGTTTCCTCAGTTTCCCATGTATCCAGTAAGTCTATAGATGTTGGCCTGTCTCCCAGAGACCCTGGGAGGAATCTACTATTCCAAAGTGCTTAATGGCACTGCTCAGTAAATAAAAGATGTCATTAATATGCATGAAGCTATTTCATCAAGAGGCCAAGAGAACAAATTTAAAAGCTATCTTTAAAGAAAAAGAACTAAGCAGCTATTATCATGCATACTACTAACCACATGGAAGTCTGCAGAAGCCCAGACAATGGCCTCCCAGGGGCTCAGAACACTCTGCTGAAACTTAAGGTGACTCTGGTCTCACTGCCAAGCACTTAGTGCATATTTCAAGAAGGAGAATCATCTACCTCCAGACACTCACTGGCAGGACAGGACTTCTCAGCACTGCATGGCCGTACCTAAGGACCCTGAGATGATGTGTCTAATGGCTTCTGAGAACTCTGTCTAAAAATATGAAGAATTAGGTAAGAAACAGACAGTGCAAGAGAAAGGCCCAGGAGGATTTATGTTTTGCCACCATTCCAAGGTCACATTTCTACTCATAGGCTTGAGAAATGGAGAGTGTGGTTAAGGTAGAGCCATTAGCAGTCAGCAGAGTATGTTGTGCTGACTCTGAATGAGGAAGATGCTGAGAAAGGAAGTGGGGGTGTTCTGGGTTTTGTCTAGCCATATGACCTTGGGGAAATCTGTAAGTTCTCCATCTAGAACCTATATTGCTCCATGTCCACAGGTAACTAGAAAATCTGCAGATTTCACATGTTCGCATGAGCAGAAGGACTAGTGTCTTACTCTCCAGATGACTTTTTAGCTATTCAAGATCTTCTACCATTTGGTCAACCTTTACTTCGCATACCAGAAAGGAACAAAGGGTAGTGTGGTGTGCACAGTTGTGAAGGCCTTATTGAGTTGCCTTGGTGTCTGTTGTTACCAGAGGCATTACTGATGACAACAGCCCAAACCACCCCCATGTTCCTTTTACAGTTGAGTTAATGAATTTTCTGCACCAGTTCCAGTTTCTGGTTGCACCAATCTTCTCACTTATGACTTGCTACTCACAGCAATGAGTGGTTTCACTCAGACACCCAACACAATTTCTAGGCTCACATCCACTTGTCCCAGATCTTGGCATTGAGACCATTATTCCAGATGTTAGAACATTATTTTTCACCAAGAGGCATCAATGAAACCATCTATTACATGGAAAAGAGGATGTTTGGAGTCAGAGTTCCCTTGACTCCTAGGAGAAGCTGACATGTGTAGGAATTCACTCTTTAATTCTTCAGCTGGTTGTGGTTCATGTTTTTGAAAGGGTACAAGGGCTTTATTTTTACCTAATTATGTGAAGTGACCTTTCCTAATGGATTGGGGACCTTTCTGAAGGGTTAAAAAAAATACTCTGTCTGTGTACACAGCCAGACCACATTTTTCAGTAAAAAATATATAAGTGAAGGTGAAGGGACAAATAACACTAAGAGTATTAGATAAAGCCTCAAGGAATCATATTATTTTGACCTAAACTGTGTGAGTGCAATTGTGCGTGCATGCAAGCATGCCTGTGTACGGTGTGTATGTATCTTAAATCAGCTATGCCATTTTCGTCGTGTGATGATTTGAATGAGAATGGTCCCCAAAGCTCATGTATTTGAATGCTTAGTCCCTGGTGGGTGGAACTGTTTTGGGAAGGATTAGGAGATGGGACCTTGTTGGAGGAGATGTGTCACTGGGAGTGGGTGTTGAGATTTCAAAGGCCCATGCCAAGTTCAGTTTACTCTCCTTGCCTTCACCCTACAGTTCAGGATATAAGCTCTTAGCTACTGCTCCAACACCATGATTGCCTACCTGCTGCCCCATTACCTACCATGATGGTCATAGATTTACCCTCTGAAATTGTAAATAAGACTTCAATTAAATGTTTTTGTTTTTTTTTTAAATAAGTTGCCTAGGTCATGGTGTCTCTTCACAGCAATAGCAAAGTCACTGAGACAGGCTGACGATGTTGCCCCCAAGAGCCATAGACTATAAAACCTCAGTACCAAGGGATTTTATTAGATAATAAAAACCCCAGTACCAGGGGATTTTATGAGAAACCTTCATTTGAGTTGTTAATCCCAAGTGACTCCCAAAACAATATAGGCTATAGCCATTGCCCTTGGTTGCTTCACAAAGGATGAAGAGAAGTCCCTGTTGCTGAAGATACCACACACTTTAGACACAGGATGCAAAAAATTCAAGCTGGATATAATCTGAAAGTCTCCTTTCTGAGGTTTAGCCATAATAGTACCAGACAATGCCATGAAAAGTGTAAAGAAAGGGAAACAACCAATAATTTTATCTATCTATAATGCCTCTGAATCATAACAATGATTAGCATGGCAATATATCCCTAAAGACATAACAGTGGCACTCATATCTTGGCAATAACCAATAAGTCAAATTGAACTTAAAGCCTACTCAACAGGAAGGAAATCATTCCTGGTACTAGAAACTTATCCAACTTCCTGGGGCTATTGGGGCCACAGATTGTAGAGGAGAACCTATTTCTGCCACTTTACTCA